GACTAAACTAAACACACACACACACAATAACAAAAGTAACAATCAAAGCTCTCACAAATGGTAACTTTTTTTGAAAATTTTGAATTTTAGGCGGCAAAATTAAAATTCAAATTTTTTTGTTTGGATTTAAATTTTGAATACGAATATGATTAATAGATAGTAAAAAGAATCCATTAGATTCTAACTTCCCCAAAATATGGAAAGAGGTTTCCTTATTTAAAAAAAAAAAAACTAATAATTAAAACCAAATCAATTTAAGATAAACCACTAATGTATATCTTATGCAATAAAACTTAATTAAAAAAATGAGAAAAATCATGTGGTAATTTAATTAAACACTATATCTTATATAATATTTTTCTATCTACGTGTGGTAATTAAATTAAATAATATATCTTATATAATATGTTTTATCTACGTTATGTAATCAAATATTCTAAGACATAATTAGTATAGTATTTTATATAATTAATCATTTATCTAACCAGATTTATCTCATTAACAAATTTGCTAATATTTTTAAAACTAAAATGGTTCAGTTATTCTTACGAATATAATTACTAAAATATTAATTGTTTCTTAATATTTTAGAAACTTTTTAAAAATAACTTTGAATTATCATGTCTTTTACTGTATATGAAATTCAAAATTACATTTTTAAATATATTAATGACCATTTATTATTTGGTTTTTTTCTTATGTGAAATAACCTAAATTTGGTTCATAGATTTGTAAATTCAAACATTAAAGAAAAAGATCCGAAACAAATTTTTAGTTAAATTTAATCTTATCTTAACTTTCATATAATCATATTCCTATCAAGCTAATTAATTGTCTAACTGATTTTTTAAGATATAATTAATAATATTTTGACTATTATATAACCTCATTTATCTCTTTAGCAAACTTGCCAAAAAAAAAAATTAAATTAAAATGGTAGATTATTTTTACGGATATACCTACCAAAACTAGTGTTGATACCCGTGCGATGCACGAGGTGCAATACAAAAAATATTTTTTATGTAAATGTTATAAAATTATCTAAGACAATAGTTTTTTATTATTTAATGCATAAATTTTATTATTTATAAGTTTATACAATACTATAAATGTATGAGATCATATGATATTTGTATACAAATTACTTGTATGTACTTATAACATTGTCGTTTGTCATTGTCTTGTAATTTTTTTAACAATTCATAATTTGCACATTGCTTAATAACTGACTAACACATAATATTTATTTTCCACTATAATTATTAAGTGCATTAAATGTTAAAAACTTTGATATATTAAAATGGACAATTCATAAACGGATTAAATGTTAACTGACCAATTCATTCTTTCTCTTTGGTCGGAAACAAAGGCCCTAAGCCGCATGAGCCCCTAATAGGAGGAGCGAGAACTCTTTGCTATGACAAAGGAATGCACTAGGGCAGCATCTCCGGCTCCTTCGCCAATCTTTCTTTATATATATAAGTGAATTTACTACACCACGTGGAATCCTTTGATTCGACCTTCTTCAAATTCCTATTTTTTTGATTAGTTATATTTAGGAACTTCACTCGGGCGAAGGACTGGGAATTCGCTTCCTTGCCCAAACCTCCCATCGCTTTCCATCCCTGTTGACGAAAATTTCAGTTGGAAAACAATAATCATATAGCGAGTAGAAATGCCAATCACTTTCACCTTCAAGAAGCACGCATCCATAACCCGGCCATTGTAGCACGCGTGTCGCCCAGGGTATCCGGGGCATGATGACTTGACGTCATCCTCACCTTCCTCCGGCTTATCACCGGCAGTCTGTTCAGGGTTCCAAATTCAACGATGGCACCTAAACACGAGGGTTGCACTCGTTGTGGGACTTAACCCAACACCTTACGGCATGAGCTGACGACAGCCATGCACCACCTGTGTCCCACGCCCGAAGGCGTTCCTCCCTTTCAAGAGGATTCGCGGACATGTCATTCCCCCTGGTAGGTTCTTTGCTCTGAATCGAATTAAATCACATGCTCCACCGCTTGTGCGGGCCCCCGTAAATTCCTTTGAGTTTCATTCTTGCGAACGTACTCCCCAGGCGGGATTCTTAACGCGTTAGTTACAGCACTGGACGGGTCGATACGCACAGCGCCTAGTATCCATCATTTACAGCTAGGACTACTGTGGTATCTAATCCCATTCGCTCCCCTAGCTTTCATCTCTTAGTGTCAGTGTCGGCCCAGCAGAGTGCTTTCGCTCTTGGTTTTTTTTTTAGATCTCTACGCATTTCACCGCTCCACCGGAAATTCCCTCAGCCCCTATCGTACTCCAGCTTGGTAGTTTCCATCGCCTGTCCAGGGTTGAGCCCCAGGATTTGACGGTGGTGACTTAAAAAGCCACCTACAGACGCTTTACGCCCAATCATTCCGGATAACGCTTGCATCCTCTGTCTTACCGCTGCTGTTGGCACAGAGTTAGCCGATGCTTATTCCCTAGATACCGTCATTGCTTCTTCTCCGGGAAAAGAAGTTCACGACCCGTAGGCCTTCTACCTCCATGCAGCATTGCTCCGTCAGGCTTTCGCCCATTGCGGAAAATTCCCCACTGCTGCCTCCCGTAGGAGTCTGGGCCGTGTCTCAGTCCCAGTGTGGTTGATCATCCTCTCGGACCAGCTACTGATCATGGCCTTGGTAAGCTATTGCCTCACCAACTAGCTAATCAGACGCAAGCCCCTCCTCGGGCGGATTCCTCCTTTTGCTCCTCAACCTACGGGGTATTAGCAGCCGTTTCCAGCTGTTGTTCCCCTCCCAAGGGCAGGTTCTCACGTGTTACTCACACCGTCCGCCACTGGAAACACCACTTCCCGTCCGACTTGCATGTGTAATCTTTTGTCTAACCGAATTTATCTCATTACTTTTTTTTTTAAATTAAAACGGTATGATTATTCTTACGGGTATATTTACTAGAATATTAAGCACTTTAGAAACTTTTGGAAAACAAAGTTATCCCGCCTTTTACTCTATTTGAAATTCAAAATTATATTATTAAATATACTAATAAACATTTATTATTTATTTTTTCCTTATTAAAAATTTATGAAATATTTTGTTTATTGATTTTTCTATACGGGTGTTTTTTAAACATTTAACAAACACCCGTGTAGATTTTTTCTGTATATTTTTCCTTATGTAAAATAAAATTCTTTTTGAAAGCACAATTAATTTTTTCCTCAAACATTTAAAATTTCGATACGTTTATTGGTTTTTTATGATGAATTAAGTTGAGATTTTCAACCAGATTTCAAATGTTATGTTGTCTAATTTGTCGCTTTAATTATATTGAATTTGATTTTATAATAGTTTTAAATTATTACTTTAATTAGATTGAATTTAATTTTATAATAATTAAATATATGATGAGAATAGGATTTTCTATTAATTGTTTGACAAATAAATTAAATAAGAAATAAAAAAAAAGATGATATAGGATAATATTTGAATTTCTCTTCTTATTTGATCAATAATTTTACTAATGATTAATCATTGAATAAATTGGTATGAAATAACATTGAACTTGGGATATGAAAGTGGTTAAAAAATTAGATGATTTGATGTGTAAAATAAAAATAAAAAATAGTTTTACTCTAAAGATTGTATTCTTTTCATTATATTTTGTACATTAACAATCATTGATTGGATAATTGATTTTATTTTTTTACAAAAAAAAAAAAACCAAAACTGCAAGGTTTAATAAAAAATATTGTGTAAAGAGAAGTGTTTAATAATAAATTTTTTCTTGTTTGTATTTATTTTATTTCCATAATGAGATGAGATATGAAAAATATAAATAATTACATTTAAATAAAGTCTAAAAAATATTTAAAATATGAGCTCATTCGTGCATTGCACGAGATATGCATTAGTTATATCCCAAAAGATAAAATAAAACACAAACACAAACTCAACCACACTATAATAGAATAAATATGTCTTTCCCACATCCGACACCACTTCGACCTAAACCCCGACACCGACACCCAAGGGCGACTACTCCCATAAAAGGAGACATGACCCAAGTTAAACTGGAGTACTACTCCTACACCTAACTAGATCTGAAACCAGTTGACCCCTCCCCTCGCCCAAGTGGACCACCCCCATACCTGCAATCGGAGGTCTTCCAACCTCCACCCCAACACCATCGACGATCCGAAACTCAAACCGAACCACAACCCAATCCCGTCGGCAGATCCCTCAACCTAGCACCAAGGAAGAAAGGGAAACGAGGGAGAAGAAGCCTGCGAGCTCAACCCCCGATCACCATAAAACGATGGTCGAGTCAGACCATGCATTTTGTAATTTCCTTATACTAGCGTATTGTTTGTAATATTTTACAAGTGTTCTTCATAAATATTGCAATGACTCAATAAAAAAAAAAAAACAAAAATAATATTCTTCCTATGCTATTCTATTATATAAATTCAAAAATAAAAGATAAATGTTATAGTCATTATCTACTAGTCCTAAAATATTTTAGAAAGATCTTAGTTATTTAAATTATTGTTAATATTTTTTTGAGTACCCAGTTTTTACATCTAAACTATTCCAAAGTATTTGTATGAACATTTTAGAAATATTTTCTGGAATATTGAAATAAATTTATTAGACTGTATAATAATACGTGTAGGTATATATATGACCACACGAATCTAAACATGAGGCTGTAAGTTTTAAAAGACTAAAAAAATACTTAAACATCATTTCACGTTTCATATACCAAATTAATCAACTAATAAAATGATTTTACAATTTTTTGTATTGAGAGTAAAAAAATGTAAGTTTAGTAATGCAATCAAGTCACTCAGCTCCCTACTATCAATCATTATACCTACTATAATACCTACGATAACCCTAACAAAATCTAATAAAATAAAAAAACAAAAAAACAAAAAAACCAGAAAAAATCGAAATAAAAATCCCAAATTTCTCAAGAAAATCTCAGGTTCCTCTAACTCCCCTCCCACCCTCCGACCCTCACTCAAAATCCCCTGATTTATACACAATCTCCCTCAAAAACACACACATACTGTTAGCCATGAAAATTGACCCAATTGGGACTATGTAAACCTTAATTCGTGCACTAGGCTATTGAGCACTTAACTTTTTAATATTGTATCAATTTAATGCTTGAATTGTATTTTTTTAATAAAAGACCTATATTTTTTGTTATTCTCAATTTAGGACTCACTTTTTAATTAACTTTCCATTGTAAGGCCCAGATAACTTTATATTTTGATGTAAATATGTGAACCAATTAACTTTATTTTTTAAAATAGTCATGTGAACAAAA